TCCGAGTCACGCTGGTGCAAGAGGTGGGCTCCCACAGCCTTCTGCAGCTCTTTCCCTGTGGCTTTGCAGGTTATAACCCCACTGCTGGCTCTTTTCACGGGCTGGCGTTGTCTGCAGCTTTTCCAGGTGCACAGTGCAAGCTCTCAGTAGATCTATACCATTCTGGGGTCTGGAGGACAGTGGCCCTCTTCTCACAGCTCCAGTAGGTGGTGCCCTAGTAGGGACTCTGTGTGGGAGCTCCAAACCCATATTTCCCTTCCTCACTGCCCTAGCAGAGATTATCCATGAGGACCCCGCCCCTACAGCAAACTTCTGCCTGGGCATCCAGGCGTTTCCATACCTCCTCCAGAATCAAGGCGGAGGTTCCCAAACCTCAATTACTGACTTCTGTGAACCCACAGGCCCAGCACCACATGGAAGCTGCCAAGGCTTGGGGCTTCCACACTCTGAAGCAACAGCCTGAGCTGTACCTTGGCCCCTTTTAGCCATGGCCGGAGCAGCTGGAACACAGGGTACCAAGTCCCTAGGCTGCACAGAGCAGGGTGGCCCTGGGCCTAGCCCATAAAACCATCTTTCCTTTTAGGCCTCCAAGCCTGTGATGGGAGGGGCTGCCTCTGACATGCCCTGGAGACATTCCCCACCCCACCCCCGCCACGACCGGTGTCTAGTGGATTAACATTTGGCTGCTCGGTACTTTTGCCAGCTTGAATTTCTCCTCAGAAAATGGGATTTTCATTTCTATTGTATAAGTCAGGCTGCAAATTCTCCAACGTTTTATGCCCTGTTCCCATTTTGAAACTGAATGCCTTTAACAGCACCCAAGTCATCTCCTGAATGATTTGCTGCGTAGATTTCTTCTGCCAAATTCCCTAAATCATCTCTCCTAAGTTCAAAATTCCACAAATCTCTAGGGCCAGGGCAAACTGCCACCAGTCTCTTTGCTAAAACATAACAAGAGTCACCCTTGCTCCAGTTCACAACAAGTTCCTCATTTCCATCTAACACTGCCTCAGCCTGGACTTTATTGTCTGTAACACCAAGCATTTTGGTCAAAGCCATTCAACAAGTCTCTAGAAAGTTTTAAACTTCCCCACATCTTCCTATCTCCTGAGTCCTCCCAAGTCTCCAGGAAGTTCCAAACTTTCCCACATTTTCCTGTCTTCTTCTGAGTCCTCCAAACTGTTCCAACGTCTGCCTATTACTCAGTTCCAAAGTTGCTTACACATTTTCTGGGAACTTTGGTACCCAGTTCCAAAGTTGCTTACACGTGGCTGTGTTGACCCAATGCCTGTATCCTCCTTGTATCTAGGAAGTAACTAACTTGTTTTTGATTTTACAGGCTCATAGGTGGAAGGGATTTGCCTTAGAAAACATTTTTTTCTAAGATTTTATAATGTATAAAACTTTTAACAACGCCGCACTCTACCGGTACCAATTTACTCTTTTAGTCTGTTTTCACGCTGTTGATAAAGACATACCTGAGACTGGACAATTTACAAAAGAAAGAGGTTCATTGGGCTTACAGTTCCACATGTCTGGGGTGGGGGAGCCTCACGATCATGGCAGAAGGCAAGGAGGAGCAAGTCATGTCTTACATGGATGGTGGCAGGCAAAGAGAGCTTGTGCAGAGAAACTCCCATTTTTAAGACCATCAAATCTCGTGAGACTCATTCATTATCACAAGAACAGCATGGAAAAGACCCACCCCCTCCCATGATTCAGTCATTTCCTACTAGGCCCTTCCCACAACACCTGGGGATTACGAAAGCTACAAGATGAGATTTGGATGGGGACACAGAACCAAGCCCTATCAATAGCCAAGTCCAAATAACCACACACAGTCGTTTCCTAATGTAGAATAAAAAAAGAGTGGTGTCCTGAAAACAATGACTGGTTCCACTTGTGGTTCATGCAGTTCAAATAACTACACAAGCTTTTTCTCAGAATGTCAGCCATGATACTTCAGTTTGTAGCAGATACGCTTTATGCAAACTTCCCAGTTTGTCAGATAATATCAAAAAGAAGTGTAAGTAAGGGTTAAGATTTAATAAAATCAGTAATTTTTTTTTCAACGTGGATATTCTCAAGTGAAACTTTTTTACTGTGATGTGGTGAAATATAGATTAGTGCTACTCCTTTGATTCATGCTAAGGTTTCAGCAGTTTTATCCACCATTGCTTTTGCACTAGCAGTGCCAATATCCACTCAGTGAAAGAGGTCAAATAACATTTAAATGACACTTTGATATTTATTATGAAGATAGTTTTGACCTCACCAATGGACACCTTAAAAAGGGTCTTGACAACCCCCAGGATCCATGGACTATAGTTCAAGAACTGCTTCCTAAACATCCAAGATACGCTGCCCTTGCCCACTCTACTTTCTTAACTCCACCCCTTATTAATTCTTACCTTTGTTTTTATAGTTCCTTAACTGGTCTCCCAATCTTCAGTCTTTTTCTCTTCCTTAAAAGTTCCTAGATTACAAATCTGATTTTGTTGATACCCTATTAAAGTCTTTCCACATGCTCCAGCACAATTGGATAAAATCCAGATTTCTTCATAGAACATAAGAGACCTTTTATTGTCATACCTACCTTAGTAACCTCGGTTCCTGTCAGTACTTCCTAGTCTTTAAGCCAAGCTGAATTTACTGGTAATTCCCTGAACACATTCATAGTTTCTACATGATTTCTACATGCTATTCTTCCTACCTGTAATACTCTTTTACTTCCCACCTATCCCTCTAATTGTACGTCATTTTTAAATCACCTCATGTCACTACCCACAAAATTCTACATTAGAATTTGTTGTCGTACTATATTGTATTATTGTATTATAGTCATTTTGCTTATATGTCATTTTTTCCTGTTAGATCGTGAGCTGTTTGAGGTCAGGAACTGTGTCTTTCTTTGTATTCCCAGTACTTATCAAGGATGAGGCATACAGTAATCATTTAGTAAATGTTTGAGTGAACTCCATAAAAATTGAAAATACAAATTAATTCCATGGTATTTCATTTTCTTTTCCTTCTAATATAGTTCTTAGAGTTGCTAATGAATAATAAAAAAAGGCCATAGATGAAAAAGAAAAAAGTATATATATGTGTGTGTGTGTGTGTGTGTGTGTGTATATACATGAAGTGTATACAGTGTGTATATATATTATATATAACATATATATGTCTCAGCCACTTTATTGGATGAAGCAATGGATCTTTATTTCCATAATTTTTACTATAAGATTCAGGGTAACTTTCGATTTACATATGTTTTTGAAAAGTTGTAATGAATTATATTTTAAAAAAATAACCTCCTTAATTTATTATAACTCAGTCTCTAATCAATTTAGACCTTTTTTTCCTAATTTAGAATTCTTAATGTGGAGGCAGAAATGCCAGGATATTTAAGTTTTTTATTAATATTTTAAAACTACTATCTGGGAATATTAGGATCATTAAAATTATTTTTTAAATGTGTTCTATACATTGTTTTATAATAAAACTTGGTTGATTGTATTTTGTTTTTGAGTTTAGTACAGTAAAATAAAATCTTGTTAAAGGGACTTCCATCAGAAGGGTACCTAACTAGAAATCCCACGTAACAGGATCCAGTAATATATAGCATTTATCAGCTAAAAGAACCTCGTTCAAAAGAAAACATGTTTTTCTAAGATTTTATAATGTATAAAACTTAAAAAGTTAAAGTAGGCCTGGTGCAGCCTATAATCACACCTGTAGTCCCAGTGCTTTGGGAGGCTGAGGCAGGAGGATCACTTGAGGCCAGGAGTTTGAGACTAGCCTGGGCAACATGGTGAAATCTCTGTCTCGGCAAAAAAAAATTGTTTTTAAATTAGCTGGGTATGTGGCACACGCCTATAGTTCCAGTTTCTCAGTAGGCTGAGATGGAGAAGCTCTTGAGCCTGGGAGGTCAAGGCTATGTGAGCTGTGATTGTGTCACTGCACCCCAGGCTGGGCAACAGAGCAAAACCCTGTCTCTAAAAAAAGTAATAAAAGTGAAATTGAAAATGTAAATTTTTTATATCTAAAAAATTTTATTGCCCACCATTTGTTCTGCATAATGCATTGTAAATATATTTATTTAGATAAATCCAAATCACTTAAAAGCAAATTTTCTAGATTATGCTTTTCTGCTTATTGACCATTTCATTGTTTATTAGCATAATATTTAAAAGTGAATCATTTGGGGCCTCACTAATTTCGAATTTACAATGACTGAGTCACTGGACTGAAACCTAGCTTTTTATAGCCTCTTGCCTAGCTGTTGCCTAGTAAATTAAAATAATATGTTTACAAAATTACAAGAGAAAGTAAAACTTTTAGTGACCTTTAAGTACTTAGATTATTGGCGTATTATAGATTTGTTGATTATAAGTCATGCCTTTAATGGTTTAAGTTGATTAAAAACCAATAGTAATTGCAGTTTCTTCAAAAAGGTTCTGAATTAATAAGGTATGTATACTATAGTCAGATTTATGCCTTTTCCCTTTGGCCAAATATAGCATATTGGGATTATGCTTGGAATTATTTTATCTATTTTGTCCCCATTGCCTTAATTTTTAAAAATTGGTAATGTTCTCTGATCTCTGTGTCAATGTTGTGCATAATTAGAATGCCATGGTGTACCAGTGAGAAACAGTAGAATAATTCCGTTGGCTAATGGAAATTGATCGTAAAATGTCAAAAATGGTTACCTAAACTCGGAAATGGGTATATGTAGTTAGTAGATTTATAGGAATAATAGCAAGTTGCATATTTAATTTGATAAATTTTGTTTGAAAATAGTTCCCTTTTGTACTTTTATGTTTTTATAAGGAAAAATACATTCAAAATTGAAAACCAAAGGATAATAGTGATTTTGCTCATAAATCTACTTTTCAGCATTCATTTACTACAAACATTGTCATCTGTTAGTTCTTTTATTTCATAATTTAAAAATTCTTCATTTTTTTATCTAATTTAACATTTTCATATTTTTAAAGGTCCCCAGGTGCATCCAATTTTTCAACTTTACCAAAGATCTCTCCTTCATCTCTATCAAATAATTATAACAACATGAACAACAGAAAGTAAGCACTGAATCTTAAAAACTCTTTGTTTAATTGATCACCCTATTATGGTTGCAAAAATCTTTTGTATCTAAATTTTAGGATAAAAGTCTTAATGCATTAAAATTGATTTTCTTTTAAATTACTGGTTAGTTCTTCCAGGAGTAACTTAACAAAAAAGAAAGCAATTAAATTACTTCTTGATTTAATACACACATTGAAAGAAGTAAAACACTTAAAGAATTTTATATACTAAATACTAATCCTTAAAATATATTTAGAAGTTTGTTAGAACACAATTTTTTAGGAAGAATTTAAATTCAGATGTCATTTTAGAACTAGATATGTAATCACATATAGTAAAGTATTTTTAAAAAGTATATATCAGTGATTCTCAAGTGGAAAGCACATATAAATTTTTGTTTATGAAAAAGGCAATCGCTTTTTCCTGAGAAGTTCAGAAAAACAATTACCTTACCCCTTGCCAAATAAAATTTAGAATCATGGAATTTATAAAAATTTGTTGAAGTGTGTGTTATATTGCTATAAGAAACACGATTGAAAGTCAAGGTTACATGGGCTTCACTCTGAGCGTATTATCTTGTATTGACTCTGAGTGTATTACCTGGAACATTGATTTTTTTTTGTTGAAAAAGGTTGAAAGAAAACCTTTATTATTTGTAATTAGCCCAAATTATAGGAATAATATTGATCTAGAGATGATTATCCTCCTTTTATTTATTTATTTTGGTATGTATAGTGCTATTTATGGATTAGAGTGAAAGTATTTAGATATTTGCCCTAAAATATTAGTAGTAGATATCTAATACTTAATTATATGTTAGTATATACTTATACTAATTGTAAAGTATTAGTATTTAGATATTTTTGCAGTTTCTAAATGGCATCTGATTATCTCAGTGAGTAAATTCTAAAAGACTAAAGCTATTTGTGAAATAATCTTTAAGACACCAATAATTACATTTATATGTTTAATTAATTTTCCCTCAAAATTTATCTTTTGGGGGAGGATGACAAAAATGATTCTAACGTACATCTGGATTATAAGTAGATGACAGAGCTAAAATAATTTTGGAAAAGAATAATAAGGATTAGTCTTAAACTAAATATCACAATGTATTACAAAGATAACAAAAATTCAAACAACATAGTACTGACCCAAAAATACACCTCCATATCAATGGAATCTAGCTCAGAAACAAATCTTTCTATAAAAAGAATTTAATGTGATCAGGAGACATTGTAGAGTAATAGGAATGGGCAGATTATCCAGGAAATATTGTTGAGAAAATTGGCTCATGTCTGAGAATTTCTCTCTGAAATTTTAAATCCAAGCATATTAAAAAAGGACAAATAAATGGAAAAAAGTACTTGTTACAAATGATAAAGGATTTATATTCTAAATATATCAAGCTCATAAAAATTAGAAATTTTCTAAGAGTCTTAGAAACATTGGGCAGTAAAAGTAAAGGAATTAAATAAGGAATAAACTTTTTTTTTTGAGTTAGGGTCTCACTCTGTCACCCAGGTTAAAGTGCAGTGTCACAATCACAGCTCCCTGCACCCTTGACCTCCCAGGCTCAAGTGATCCTCCCACCTTAGCCTCTTGAGTAGCTTGGATTATGGCACACGCCACTACTCCCCACTAATTTTTTTATTTTTATTTTCATAGAGACATTCCACTATGTTGCTCATGCTGGTTTCAAACTGCTGGGCTCAAGAAATCCTCCTGCCTCAGCTTCCCAAGTGCTGAGATTGCAGGCATGAGCCACCTCACCCAGCTGGGATAAATATTTTAAATTTTCACATTCACTACTGATTAGAGATTAAAACCATGAAAAACTCCATTTGCTTTCCCTTACCTCAGTCACATTGGGAAAAATTAAACAGTAACATATATTTTTATAATGATTGAGTGCTTGGAGTATTAGAATAATTTTTTCTAGCAAAATAGTTTACTAGTATGAATCAATAACATTTAAAACGTTCACATTCTTATTTCAGTAATTCATAAAAAGATATGTGCACTGTATGTAATAATATTACATCATAGTGTAATACTAAAATACTGAAGACACTGAATGTTCAAAATTACACTGCAGTGTCTTCTCTTCTATTTAAAAATGTATGTGCACAAGCCAAAAAAAAAGAGTGAAAATAACGCCTCGTAATTTGGTTTGTATTACGTAAATGAGAGCTTTAAGTAAACTTCATGCTAGATAAAATATTACTTATGATTTACTCATTGCAGATAGCTCTCATATTTACTATAAAAGAATTTATTTACAGGTATTTACAGTCATTCTTTGGACATATTTTTAACATTGTATATAGACTATATTGAATGTAAACTGTATTTTGACCAGTATTACCATATTGGTATGTGTGGTCTGGTATGTTTCTGGTTTTGTTCTGTTTGCATCCTTAGTAAGTACTTGACAGTATAAGCTAATCTAAAAACCTCTGACTACAGAAACTATTGAGAGAAATTAGAGTCTTAAGTTTCAATGATTCTATCATATGACTACATTATATTTTTAGCTATTTATATTTTTTTATTTCAAACACTGAAATAGCCTTGTCATATTATGGAATTATAATAGCAAATGGTCACTGAGGTACCATGAAGCTGTGACCATTTTGAGCTTGAAAGTACATTTTTATGTGTGGATTTTCTTTCTTAGTAAGGAACAGAACTTAAGCATTTCTAAAATGGAAAGTTTTGTTTTTTAACCTTAAAAAACTTGAATTCCATATTTAAACAACTGTTTTACATACAATTTACTTCTTGAATTTCCATTCAGCTTCTGGAAAGACTTCAGATAGAAATAGCATAGTTTCTTTAAAAGTAGGTGAAATAGTAATGACCTTTTTGCATTATGTTTTTGAAACCTCATGTATGTGGAAATAGTCTACGAGTATAAATAATATATTAAAATCAATAGTTGTCCACAAACTTATATGAAATTTATTTATAAATTCAAGATTTAACCCTACACTGGTACATTTCTAAGATATAAAATTTTTATTTCCAGAAATAAGAATATTGTTATAAAATAATTCCAAGTAATAAAGTATACTTGGAATTATTCCATTTAAGTTTAGTAAGTTTTTATTAAAACCTGTATTATGAAAACTCCATTACTATAATACAGTTTGTTTACCTTGTGTCATAATTTTACTTGTTAGTCCCATGTGTATTTGGTTTTGCCTCAGTTATAATTTAAGTGCATTTTTAAATATCTGTCAGATTGTCTTTCTGGTAATAGTTCTATAACCTGTATTTTTCTGCCCTGCTTTATTTGCTTTGATATATTACTAACACTGCCTTTAAAAAAATATTGTTAATGTGTTTATTGTCTTAATTTGACATTCCAAATGCAGAGCACATTTCTATTTTTCTGTTAATTTATTTATATCTTTTTTATTTGAAATGAAAATGATTCCCTGTATGAGATTGAGCCATGAACAGGAACTGTGAATTTTGGAAACTACCAGAGCTAACCATCTGGCTCTTGATAAATTTGTTAGCTAAAAGCATCATTTCATTAACTGCACAATGGGCATAATTATAGTTATGAGGATTAAATTATGTATTTATAAAGTCAGGTGTCGGTACTAGCTTAAAAGTCAATCTGAAATATTTTATAGAAAGGTAAGCTTCAATTTTACCAAAAAAAAGTGTATTTTTAGTGTGTTTTTATTAAAGAAGGATGGATATAATACAGAATTAACCTAACATAGTATTAAAATTCCCATTACAATTACTGTAAATTTATTTTTGCAAAGTAGCATAGCCTTAAAAGATGATGACTAGCTTAAGATCTTTAGGAAGTAATTACTAGACATAGTCATGAAAGATACTAGAGCCCAGATTTTCATAAATTTTTTGAATTACATAAACTAGTTTTGATATTTTCCATGACAAACTTTAATATTTCATTTAAAGCACACATAACATGTGGATTATAAGTAACCAATCAAGATAATATTGAAGTATCTTAAATTCATTGATTTTCATTATCATTTTGAGCATCTAGACTATCTCAATCTTTGAGCGAAGTTGTAGATATTATTTAGGGATTTAGATTTTCTTAAAAAACAAAACCAAAAAACTGCTTTGCAAATAAGTTTTTTATTCATTTCTCAGTAAATAGGAATTTCTGTCCCATCAAATTCCATCATGTTGCTGCAAAGAAGAATAGAACTTCCAGCATCTCTTTGTGTTACACGTGGGGAGAGACAAGAGATCTGAATATATACTTATGGAATGAGCATGTAAATGTGCTTTTAGTCTTTTCACATGTGTGTGTATAGGCGTGAGCATGCATTTGTGCATACTTTCCTGTGTGCTCTAGCTGCTTAAATTTTACTATAATTTTACAGTCAGAAGTTTTTTCTTCTCTGTAATGTGTAGAATGTGTGGAAAATGCAAGTCTTGCATTTTTTAAAATAATATACAGAAGATCTGCATTTTTAGCACTATTTAACACTGATAAAAGAAAAACAGGATTTTTTTTTTTTTGTACTTAAGCTTTTTGTTGTGTGTACCCAAAGTTAGATTCAATAATCCAATTATGAGCGAAAATACTTAAAATTGCTGATAGGCACTTTGTACTTTATTAGTTACTAGGAATATAAAATAAAAAGTGAATCATAGGGTAATGATTTGCCAAGAAAAGATGCATGAGTTATATTTTTTGTGTTTTGTTTCAGTTTAAGACAAGTAAATATCTGTAAGTCTAGCAATTCTGAATTTGAATTGATCAATGTTATATTTCTTTGACGCCTGCTGTTTTTATCTCAGGGTGGATTATTTTTTCAGAGTTGAGGAGTTGACCTTTTTTGTTTCCAGGAGAAGGGAGTGTTTTTTTAAAAAATACAAAAACATTAGTAGGCTAACATTGTATGTGTAATTTGAGGTTGGTTTGGTTTTGTCTGTTTTACCTGTCTGGGGTGTGTGTGTGTGTGTGTGTGTGTGTGTGTGTGTGTGTGTGTGTGTGTGTTTTCACTAAAGACTTTGTTAGAACAGGTAGTAGTATAGTTCACATAAACTCTTATAATGACAAAGTGAGAGTGTAATATATGAAATAATAAAGTGAAGTATTTGAAATTGTAAGAAAAAACTACTTTAAAAAAGTAATACCAGAAATAAATTATAGCCAGTTGTGAATTGCTAGAGATACCGATTTATCATGTTCATTTATAAAGCTGTTTTATTTATAGTGTCATTTGCTTTTAGCAAAGATCTCATTCAGGTTCTTTCTAATGAATAAAAAAAGATTGAAAGCTTGCTTTTGGATTATATCCAAAGTATTCATCATACATATTTTATAGAATAACCTATTAAAAAATAAGAATCCATTCTTTTTCACAAAATTATTTTTTATTATATGCAGAAGGAAGAGGGATCGTTTAACATTTTCTTCTTTCTAAAAATTATCCTGATTTTGTAACTTTTAGAATATTATAGAGTTTTTAATATTAACATTTAAATTATCTTGAGGTTATATTTATCTAATTAAATAAACTACATTAATCTGAGAAACCAGAAGAAAGAAAAGGCAAATAATACTGGGATATACTTGCTTAGAATCATTTTTGCATTCCTGTTCACCCAGGCTTTTTTCTGCATTTGAATACTAGTTTTAACTGGTCTAGCATAGAAACTATAAATGGAATCATCAGTGCATCATAACAGTGAGGTCACAGTGGCCTTGGAACTCTCTGCTCTTACCTGTAACTTTTTAAAGCATAACTCTTACTGTTTCTACCGTTGTTACTCTTATTACAATAACAATGCAAAAGGGTCATAAAGGAGATGATTTGTTGCTGCAGTTGGTGTTTAAAATCTGAATGTTTTAAATTTGATGGAGCAATGGGGAATGGAGCAAGCTGTAAAGCTGCTCCAGTTAATCAAAGGTAGAAAGATATAATCGTGATTTGTATTGGTTGGTGTGGTATTTGAGTTATTTTGTTGATTGGGTAAGGAGTATCTTAACTCAGGGTGAGTTATTTTGTTTGAGGTTCGAGTCTTTAAAAGTATCTCAGTTGAGTACTTTATAAAAGAAATTTAATGATCAACCATATATCTCATAAATAGGCCTGAAGTACTCTTTATTATAAATATGTTGTAATATAATTGGCTACATTATGAAAATATTTTTTTCTTCCAGTGTGAAAAACTCAAATTACTGTCTCCCATCATATACGGCTTATAAGAACTATGATTATTCAGAACCTGGAAGAAACAATGAACAGCCAGGCCTCTGTGGCCTAAGTAACTTGGGAAATACGTGTTTCATGAACTCAGCTATTCAGGTAGGTCTTTGTAAACAAAGTGAAACTCATGTTTCATGGAAATCTGTAATACAAGAAGATAGAGTTGGTTTTTCATGCCAGAACATGGGTATATGTTTTGAAAGTTTATTTTTCATGGAAGATTTAAGCATACATATTTGACTCATTCATTCTACTACTGGTAGTAGAACATATGTTTCTCAATTAGGTGACATGTGATTGATTAACATAATGTACAAGATTAAATATCACTTTGCAGAAACATAATATCGAACAGAAAACTTAAGCTGTCTAAGAAGGGGGAAAAAAAAGCAAAAAAGCTAGTGAGTTCCCTCCATTATTCAGTAGAAGTCTATTGCCTTTTTTTTTTTTTTTTTTTTTTGTCTTAATGGGAAATTAAAATTTTAAAAAGGAAAATCTTGGGAACTTCTTTTTATATACATATTTTAACAAATCACTTTTCCTTAAAGGCCTTTTAATTTGGGGATATAAGAGATAACTGCCTTTCCCCTTCCCCCTCCCCCCTTTTTCTTTTCTTTCTGCTCTAGTCTATATCCTCTTTCAACTTAACTTTTTAAATATTTATGTCTTTGATTGATTCTGAAGTAATGAGATATATATATATTTTAATATTACTGTTACTGTGTATAAACTTAGGGCTGGTTATTTTATTCCCCTTTTACAGATAAAATTTCTGTGTTTATAAAAGCTCAGAATAATGGCAAACCATTTTTGATTCTTGAATTTTAACCTTTTTTTGGTCAGTCTCTTTTGTGAATTCTGGATTTTTAGTTTTAAATCTAAACTTTTCTGTTCTCTATTCGTATTTTTTTGTTGAATCTCCTATGCCCAGCATGCAGCCTCCAAAGATAGAGATTAAATGCAGGGTGTAGATTGATAAGGACATTATTAGGCATCTTTCTCACTATCTGAGAAAAGGATGACTCTTCACCATTCAGTATTCTAAGTGAATCTTTTTATACGTCGTCATTCATACAGCTGTTTCCTAAATTAACCATTGCCTTTTTATATTCTTGGAAATTAGAATCTGTCATACACTATAGGCCAGGAGTTCGCATCCTTTTAGAAATTGAGTGGGGAAGGCATAATCGATTTCTGGTATTTTGCTTTAGAGTTGAACCACTTGGGAAATGGCCTATCTGCCTAAGCAGATAGGTTAATATATAGATTAATAAACTCTTCTTTTAAATCTTCTTGGAGTGAGAAATCCTGCTCATAATGTAGTTTACTTTATTCAAAATAGTTTTTCAAGAATTCTAGCACTAGTTAGACATAGAGGCAATTTTTTATTTTTCTAGATGAGGAAGAAAACCAAAATGTATTATTATCATCCTAATAGTTATTAAATAACAAAGTAAATTACATGGGTGCCTAGCTTTCAGAGATGGGAATGGGACAGACAAATTATAATATCTATCTGTTGGACCATCCCTGGAACATGTTTTATGTAAATTGTTGTCATACCAGTACCAGAAAACCCTGTTCCCAGATCACCAAGTTATATTAATTTTTATATACCTCTTTATCCTTGAACTGCCAAAATTACTTTGGTTCCAGAGGCTTGATATCAGCTAGAGTTTATTTTCCTAGTATGGAAAACCAATCTTGGTGCTTTTTCATAAATATTAATAAAACATTTTAACAACATAGAGATTCGAAATTTGAATCTGTCAGGAGAGCACAAGAGTTTGTGTTGATGCTAATCATTCATGGGAGGCTTGGGCCAGCATTCAGACTAAATTCCTTCTAAAGCAATACTGCATCCTAGTTTTTTGTGCCTTTGATACATCTGTTTAGTATTGTCTACATATGGTTAACTGCAATTTCTCAAAAATGGGTATTAAAATTGAATCTTTAACCAGCCAGGTTGAGCTAGATTTGGCATTGTTTAACTTTCTTGCATGTTATGTTTAAGGTATGATAGTCTTCATTTTATTCATTTTTGCTTCTATTCAAAGCTATTTTATTAGAATAAATTGATAGCTCTATTGCAGACCCTCCTAATATAATTTACCATCACGTGTTCCATTTCATCTGAGACATAGCCGTGAGTGTGATGGTTTGTAATTTTATGATAATAGCCATAAAATTTTTTGATGAAAATTTTAGCAGTGAATATTTTAAGCAGTGGATATTATTTCATGACTATTGCTTAATTTAGTTGGAAACTATACTGTCTCTAAAATAAAATTCTTCAAACAATTCGGAGAAGAGAAAAACGAGTTTTTATTTGTGCAGCTTTTAGTTTTTAGTTCACATCTGGAATTAGAAAAGCTAGGCCTTTAGTTTTATTTTCTTAAAACTTCCATGATTTTTAATTGATTAAGATGTCAGCTTTGGGAGGCCGAGGCGGGTGGATCACGAGGTCAGGAGATCGAGACCATCCTGGCTAACATGGTGAAACCCCGTCTCTACTAAAAATACAAAAAACTAGCCGGGCGTGGTGGCGGGCGCCTGTAGTCCCAGCTACTTGGAGGCTGAGGCGGGAGAATGGCGTGAACCCGGGAGGTGGAGCTTGCAGTGAGCCGAGATCGCGCCACTGCACTCCAGCCTGGGCGACAGAGCGAGACTCCGTCTCAAAAAAAAAAAAAAAAAAGATGTCAGCTCTCAAGCTGAAAATTCACTGTAAGAGGGAGTACAAAATGGTGGCAGTAGCCTTTACTCCTCTATTTCACAAAAATTCATGTAACTTCATAGATCCAAAAATAAAAAGGGTAATAGATAACTAATAGAATAGATTCTATAGGTTTTGTCAGATACTATTTCTTCAATTATGCTTTTTTCAAGTTTCCTTGTAACTTCTTTGAAATTGAAAACAATTTTCATCAATTTTAGAAAATATCAAATATTATTTCTACTGACAATTTGAATTTTAATGTAACCTCTTAAATTAATTCAGTATCCTCCAAATTTGAGTGATCATTTCACCACATCAGGTGGTATAGTATTGACATATGTTAAAAAAAAGAGTGTAAAAAGTATACTTTTTTAATGTAAGAGTGGGTTATACTTAGCCCATCAGTAGCCTTGAGATAGTGAAATCTTTTGACCACCAGTGATTAAAAACTAAGCAGCACCAATCTGAGTGTGATTTAACATTATTACTGTTATTATTTAATTTAGTGATATTGGTACTCAAGATTGTCTGATATAATGGTATGAATGAGTATTAACCTTTTCTGGTGAATATGGTACTGCCATATAGCACAGTAAAAAATAACAATACAACAATTTGTCTGGGCATGGTGACTCATGCCTGTAAACCCAACACTTTGGGAGGCCGAGGCAGGTGGATCACCTGCGGTCAGAAGTTTGAGACCAGCCTGGCCAACATGACGAAAGCTCATCTCTACTAAAAAACACAAAAATTTGTCAGGCGTGATGGCGGGCATCTGTAATCCCAGCTACTCGGGAGGCTAAGGCAGGAGAACCGCTTGAACCCGGGAGGCAGAGTTGGCAGTGAGCCAGGATCACACCATTACACTCCAGCCTGGGTGACAAGAGTGAAACTCCATCTCAAAAAAATAAATAAATAAATAACAATTTAAAATAATGTGAATTTTAAAACAATGCAATATAACAATTAACATAGCATTTACATTTTATTAAGTATTAGAACAAATCTAGAGATGATTAAAGTATATATGAAGATATATGTAGATTATATACAAATACAACACCATTTTATATCAAGAACTTGAGCATATATGGATTTTGGTATCCCCAAGGTGGAGAGGGGAGCTCCTGTGACCAATCCCCTGTGGATACCAAGGACAACTGTATATCCTGACCTTATGAAGAGTACAGCCCAGATATTGTGATTTTCAAACGTTTTGTATTTTAGCATCAAAATCTTTTTTTTTTAAGTTACTGTGGAAAGTTTAATTGTTTCCCCATTATTTAAGTAGATACTGTAAAATTGCTTTGATTGGGTGAAGTTCCCAGAACCCCATCTGCTTTCCTTTACTTTCCACAATGGCCCCAGAAGCTTTCTCATGGAATCCCAGGACTCTGAGGAATAGTTTGAAAGCCAAAGTCTGGCTTGGAAAAAAAAAAGAAACACGTAAAAAACTAATAATGCAGGTTAAGATCACAGTTTGTGGAGCTACACCACTTGGATTAAAAACATGGCTTTCCTGCTTCTTATAATAACTGTATTTCCCTAAGCAAGTTAATTGCACAATTCATTTTTCTCATTGTCTGACAAGAAAATAATAGTACCCTATCTTAGTAGTTTTGTAAGGGTTATGTGAGTTGATGATTTTAACTCGTAGCATACTGACTGGCACATCATAAACACTGTATAGGTATTATGTAGAAATTATTATCTCATCTTTTTTTAAAATTCAAGAAGTTAAGCAGAATGACTCTGGAAAGATTCTGTCCTCCATAACCGTTGTGTCTGTTCTTTTTTCTTGAGTCTTTTTCCACATGGACCGTAGTGGACTAAAAAGAAATAATTGAGTGTACTTTTATTTTTCATGTAGTGTTATTGCAGTAGGTATTTATCATCTCTTTGATTTCTGAACTATGCTAATTTAACTCTTCCTAGGCAAGCTGATAAGGAAGGGATATAATAACATAGAATTGTTTATGAATATTCTATTTGTAGGGCACTTGGAAATTCAGAATTCTTGAGTTTGGTTACCCCTAGCCCCTGCCTCCTGAGTAGTTATGATTGTAGGCATATACCACCGTGTCCCATTGGTTCAAATAATACAATAAGATAATTTTCTAGTGCCCTAAATCTGTTACTCCATCTAGAGAGTGCCCAGTTTTTTAATTTTGCATTATTGGTGATAATTTTAATTAGCATTAGTTCAGTAGATTCAAGAGCACTTCAACCCTTGTCTTTTTCATTGTCAAGGCCTACCTAGGAGGCTCATGGTTAGTTTCCTGAATGAAACACCTCTTCAGATGGATTTGAAGCAGGGGAGTAATGTGGTCTTCTCCATTGGAAAGCAGCATGGCATAAGATGGTTGTTTTCAAAATCTTTACT